ACCTGTTCCAAAAGATTAAACATTGCATCATGGGTGCCCTTTAATGGTTGGAATCCAAATTGAGTGTCACTTATTATGTTGTGTTTTGAAAAATATTTCAACATTCTTTCTTTAACTAACTTTTCAACTATTTTTGACAACGTCGAGAGAAGTGATATTGGTCGATAATTACATGGGTTGTCCAAATCGCCACCCTTATAAACAGGCAACACAATAGCTTTTTTCAGGCAGTCTGGAAATACTCCTGTTAAAAATGAAATATTAATACATTCAGACAAGACATATAATGCATTATCAGGCAAGTTTCTAAGCAAATTTAATGAAACATTATCGTGCCCACTGGATTTATTGTTTTTTATTCCTCTAAAGATTTCATTAAGTTCTAATACGTTTGTAGTTTCCAGTACAAATGTGTCATTTATTTTAACATCCAATAAATAAGAACCAGGATCCACATTACTTTTCAAGTTTTGTTGTAAAGTATCAGCAACACTACAGTAGAAGTTGTTGAGAATATGGGGATCTAATTTAACATCTGTTTGAAGAACTGAGTTTTTACCAGTTAACTGATTAATTATTTTCCAGTTTTCTTTGCTGGCATTTTTGGAGGAGTTTATTCTATTCTGATAAAACTTTTCTTTAGCTGCTTTTAAAACACTTTTGTAAATTTTTCTATATCTGCAGAAATAACTTATGAACTGAGGACAATCAGTAAATTTGCGAATATTTTGTAACGAACGCATGTTTTTTGATGAAACTTTAATAGCGGGAGTAATCCAAAGTTTACTTTTCTTTTGCTTAATTTTTTGTAATGGAAAAGATTTTAAAAATGCATCAGTTATTAATTTTTGGTATTCGTTTAGTGGTGATTGACAATTCAAAACTGCTGGCCAATTTAATTCCTTGCAAATATCTTTAAATTTTTTATAATTGTTGCTGCTAAGTAGTCTACCAACTTTATATTTTGGTGGTTTATTTATCGCAAGTTGAAATTTTGCTAAAACTGCCTCGTGATCCGAAATGCCTACAGGAATTACACTACAGCTAACAAACATTTGCTTTAAGACAAAATTTGAACACAGATAATCGATTTTGGTTCGAGAATGAACAGTTATTCTAGTAGGTTCGTTAACATACATCTCTAGGTCAAATGATAAAAACAAGTTAGACAGAGTTTGCTGTGCCTCTGATCTGTCATCATCAAAATTTATATTAAGGTCTCCCCCTAATATCAAACCTGCCTTGGGTGGCAGTTTTGATAAAAGAATTTCAAGATTTTCAAAGTATTGCTTTAAGTTTGAATAATAGGGGGGCCTGTATATACACAAAATATGTAAATTATTTTTTTTGTTATATAACAAGGAGAATTCAAAAACATTTTCAATTAAAAGGGTATTAAACTTTGTTATGGGGGTAACATCAAAAGATTGTAAAAATGTCTTATTGACAAGAATAGCAGTTCCACCATGAGTTTTACTATTTCTACAATAGAGAGACACCACAGTATAATTTTCAATACAAAATGGTTCATTTTCTGCTAGCCAGTGCTCAGTTATAAGTAAGAAAGCTGGAAAATTGTTATCTTCCAACAGCAGATATAAATCATCAAGTTTGTTCCTTAGCGATTGTATATTAATTAGAAATACGGAGACGGCGGCGTTATTATTTTTTATGTTTTGTGCCGCGCTTGCGCAGTTTGTGGAAGAGGTTGGTCTAAAAAATTTACCTCTGGAAAATTATTACCCTTTGAAATAGTGTCGTCATTAATACTAAAGATATTATCATCTATTGGGACATATTTAAGATTTGTTACGCTTTTTACATTAAAGTTCTGAACACACTGTTTTATCAATTTTCCAGTCTTAGACAATCCGTACTTATTTAAATAAAAGTTAGAATTCATACAAAAATCTCCATGAGAAAAATTACCAACCAAATCCAAAAAACCTATGTTAATAGAGAAAATTTGTAGTTTTTGAACAACTTCCCTAAGTTTTTGATTTACATTCCTAACATACAAACATTTCTTGCCATAGTTATTTTTATATGGGAGGTTGCAGACTAACAAATTCGTTCTAAAACACTTATTTGACAGCAATACTATGTCATCTTTTCGGATATCAGTGTCGTTAAGTCCTGCTATTAAAACAACATAGTCCTTATCGGTCAAATCCTTCACATAACAGTCGGAACTATGTATAATATCCCTTATTGTAGTATAAGGTTTTGTCACCAGCTGAGTTACATAGTTGTCGCCCACTGATTTGTCTATAGCATCATATAACATTCTTCCAAAGTCATCAGTTAAAATAACAATCTTATTCTTAGAATTTTTAACCTTCCTTAAATTAACAAGCGAGTTTATAGCACTTATGTCAGCAATATTACCATCTGATTGACTTTTTTGATAATCCTTTTTCGAAACTTTACGCTGCTTGAACTGGAATAATTCTTTGTTGATCTTTTTATTCTCACTAGCATATACATCATTATCATTCTCAAGTGTACTAATTGTTGTTAACATTTGATTTTTCATTGACTTCAAATCATCTAGCTCTTTTACCAGTTTATCACGTTTCTCATCTTCCTCCACTATTATCTGCTGCAAATTCTTGTTCCTCTGTATCAGTTCATCCATACGTTTGGTGGCAGATTTACTAGATAGCTTGATCTTTTCGATTTTTTTATCTAGACTTTTATTTTTCACTAGAACTTCTTCATATTTCTTTTGATGTATGGTAATATCTTTCTTTGTGCCATCAATTTCCCTTTCTAAAGTTCTAATAATTTTTTCTTGACTCTTGATTTTTTCTTCCAGTGAATTTTCAACAGAAAAAACATCGTCCTGAAAGTCTATGGTTTTCCTTCTCTCTCGTTGCAGAATATCATCTTTCGCAATAATAACTTCATTTAATTCAGTAATCTGCTTTTTTAGTTTTGCGACGGAATCTTCATGTTCACTCTCCAAGAGCTCTATTACTTCATTTAGTCTTTTGTTTTCGTTAATTAACTTCTCCAATTTTTCTTCATTAAAACACATATTTCTAAATTCATCTTTACAAGATTGACAGGAAAATAATAAAACTCTTTCACTGAGGGCTAATGTGTGAGCTTCAGTTGTCTTAAGTTCTGCACAACTTTTACAATAAAGTAACTTACAAGAGTCACATGTTGCTCCAAATAATTCATTTTCAGCTGGACGGGCCTTATGTCCGCAACTTTTAAAACATTTTGAACAAAACCTCTCCATTTTAATTTTTATTCTCTAAAGTTTCTGTAAATGCAACATAAACAAACACAAATTGCATTGAACTTTAACTTTGAAGAACTAGATCAATGGCAAGGCAATTTGGCCAAGTTTACAAAATACACGCACAACGAAAACGAACACAACGATGTGATGCAAAACAAAACAAATCAATTCAAAACAAATCAAAACAAAACAAATTTGCAAAACTCTCGGAGCTGCCGAACACGACCGTCCGGTACGAGCTATTGTTTTGTTATTAAAAAATGGATTTGCAAATTAAGTATACTTCATGCCTACTATTTTCGCTTTTCTATAATTAAACGTGGCAACATGGCACATTTACGTCCGAATTCCTTCCGTAGACTCAGATCCGCTGGGCAAACAATACATGTTTGCGGATGATATCAGGTCTTCAAAAAAAAAAACAATCGAAGATTGCTTTGATTACGAAAACTTAAGTCGCATTACTGTTTCTTTATTGGTCAGGATTTTTGACATGACATTTTGACATTAAAGTTCATTGACAAAATTAAAGGCAAATATTGCTAAGACATACATTTGAAAAACCATAGCAATCGTTGATTGGTTTTTTTTTGAAGACTCGATATGATACTATTGTATAGTGGTGCAAATGAAGAACTTGAGCATTGTGTCAATTCTGACTTGGAGTAATATGCCAACTGGTTGCTATTTAATAAATTAAAAATTAATATAAGTAAAGCGAAATTCATGATATTTATACAAAAAAAAATAAGTTAAGAGTTCCAATGATTAAAATAAAAAATGATGACTGTAATGAAATATTTGGGCTTATTCTTAAGTGAAAATCGTAAAAGCAATGAACACATCGCTCAAATAACCAATAAAATATCTCCTATGGTAGGTGCAATGTTTAGGTGTCGCAGTTATTTGACATATGGGACTAAGATGAATATATAGGTACAACACTTACTTTTTGTCACATTTAAGATATTTGATTCCTGTCTGGGACATCTGTGGTGTGGTCGAATTTCAGAAAGTTCAAGTACTCCAGAACAAGGTTTTAAAAATTTTATTACAACCATCTAACACACACGGATGATTGTACAGAGCGCTACCTGTTATGAACTTGAGTAAAATGCTGATGTTGAAGCAATGCAAATTTATATTTAAAGTTATTCATAAAAAACAAAAATCCAACACCGATGTGGTGTTTATGGAGAACATTCACTCTCACCATACAAAATACAATACCAGCATATTTCTAGACAATGTTAGAACAAATAAGGGCTTGCACAATCTGTTTTCTCAGGCCTCCAAAGCCTACAATCAGTTACCAGTTCACATTGGAGAGTCAACCAATCTTGTGAAATTTAATGCAGCCCTGAAAGAGTATCTTTCTGGTCATGATGTTGTTTGAAGATTATTTATTTTCTCAGTTCCTACTCGTAAAGATCACTATACTAGGTTATTGCAATTCCTGTTGGTAAATTTCCTACATATTTTAGTTGTCATTTTTATCTTAATTGTTAAGTATATTAACCTCGTTACCAGTGTTGCATACACTGCTTAGAGGATTGTGTTGAAAAAAAATTGCTGCAAGTATTTAATAAAGGTTTCAAAAAAAAAGTCCTCAGTGAAAGATGGTAGTGTAACCCTATCCAAAATCTCAAGAAATGTCCAAAACACTGGCCCTTATGTTTCAATGGATTTGAATATGTGTTTTTTTTTTGCCGTGGGACTACTAAATTTAGACAAGATGAATACTTACCATCACCATCAGATCCTTCCTCATCCGAGCTCTCCCCTTTTAGACTTTTCCTGTTGCCTCTTTTTCCAGCATACCTCTGATCCACGTCAGCCAGCAAATCAACATTTTGCTTCCTGAATTTACTCAGGAGAGCATAATCAATATCGTTATCTATTTCATGTTGTAGTTCCTCAATTTCAGTAAGTTTTGCTCTGGTTTCGTCCAGGTTTTCATCGTCCGGATCGAATTGTGTTGGCACGGCGCTAAGGACGCCTGCTATTTTATCAGCCAATGATGGTTTTTTATTCATTTTTTAACGTGAAATTTCTGTGATATTTCAGTATTTTTCACAATTTACCACCCAGATTCCAATACTCAAAATTCAAAACACAAACGAGAACGAGACAAGAAATATTTGAGGTTATGTTATGTTGTAGTGTTTTTCTTCTTCTTCCTGTTTACCAATGGCCTCTTTTTTTGGTTGTAGCTGGTGTACAAATAGACAGAAGTTAGCCAAAATCGAATCCCAATAGCGCTTTCGACTTTTGCCTGAAAACTGCACCCGATTGATCAAAAAGCGATCCCAAATGGATTTGCATGTTTGGCAGCGGAGCGTTGCTCTGGGGAGATTCACGGATTGACGTGTTCGGCTTGAGCAATAGAACGCTCCTAAATCTCAAACAGAGCGTTCTTTCGTGCATTTAGGAGCCGTTTTATGCGTACATCAAACGTCAAATTGTCGAAGCAATATGTCAAAAAAGAACGAAGTGCGTGTAGTACGGTCACGAACCGTGCGTTCAGTATTTTGATCTGAGTTCTCCGAGCATAAATTTAACGTTCGTTTATTTAAAAAGTGTACTCGGTGCAGGCTCATTCATGTTCGATTAGTTGTATTCCTTTCACACCTAGGCGGAGCTCCGGAACAGCTCCGGGGCTTCACGCATTTATTCCTTTCGAAAAGTGTTTGTTGCGCCCTTTGAATATAAAACTACAGGAAGGAGCATATCTTCAAATCTGCGCGACCAAAATATGTGGAGGTTGCATATGGCCGACTAGTATTTCCGGTTTGGCAGTGGCGTATATTTATTTAAATATGATCGTCAATATTATGAGTCATCCTTTTCGCACTAATCCCAGTGCTTATTATCACTTAAAACCGCTAAATTCCAATAAATATCCACTTGAATGAGAACACAGCGAACCACCAAAACAAATGATGACTGATGAGTTCATACTTGGAGGCTCAATATGGCCGTTTCCGTCCCCGCGTTGTCTGTAGTGACCAATGAACTATAACCAAAAACTGGAATGCTAACACATAAGGACGAACGTGAAGCCTAGTGCGGCTGCTGCAGAGGGGATACCTGTTTTTGCCGCACTCATTATCTTAAATGGCGAAAATAGCTTGCAACAGAGAAAAACAACATTCCCCTTTGTGGCATCTGTCTTTCATGGCTACATTTTTTTGGCAGATACGGCACTGTGTGCGCATTCCAGTTTTTAGCTCTAGTTCATTGGTAGTGACAGATAGAAAACGCTCCTTCCGTTTTATATTCAAAGGTTGCACCACGCATATGTTCCCTGCAAATCGGGGGCGACTAAGCACCGAACCGAGTAGCTCGAGTGTTTCAAGCTCTTGAAAGGAATACAACTATATTAAAATTTTGAGTCTTCTGATACAGCGTTCATCTGCTGTGTGCGCTCGTTGGTCACGTGATTACTGCTCCGCTCTGCTCTTCGAGCAAAATACCAATGAAATTCACTCTGACTGCTGGCGCGATCCAAGGGGGTGGGGGCGCAGGGCAGCCATCCTCGGCCAAAATTTTATGGTGGTATAAGCAATTAAGCAAATAAAATATACACAAGAAAATAATTAACTACAAATACAAATTATTTCAATTCTCCGAATAATTTCAACGAGACCCGTGTCTGTACAGGGTGGCCCAAATTCGAGCCTCATCATTGGGATCTCTGTAACCGTGAGAGATACGGGATCGGTTAAATTATGGCAAAGTTGCGCAATTTTATGACCAATAGAATGCCGTTTTGAAACTAGAAAGATTCCAAATACTTCCGGAGATATTCGGAAAAAACCGAAATTTTGTAAAATCGTTTTTATTTATTCCCGGGCTTATTTGAAAAGCAATTTTAAAATAAATGTTCGCATCGCATCGTTGTCACTTTTTCCCCTTTAGAAGATGGTGCTACTAAATTTGAAATTCGACGTTTCGTCTTCAGGCGGCCATCCTCAACTTACGTTTTTTAAATACGTATCTAGATTTTTTATTTGCGATTTTGTCATCTTTGGGCATCCTAAAACCGATACTGTTTATAATTTTTCAATAACACGGTAAAAAACGCAGGTCCGTATTTAAAAAAAATAAATTGATGATGCTTCCAGAGGAAAGAAACGTTGGATTTCAAATTTAATACCGCCAACTTGTAGAGAAGAAAAAGTGACAATGAGAATGAAAAATTAGTTTTTCAAAATCTTTTCAAATGGAATCAGGAAAAAATTTAAGAAAAACGAGAAAATCATGTTTTTTTTCGTATTGTTTTCATTTTTTCCTGATTTTATTTAGAAAGATTGTGAAAAACTAATTTTACATTCCCATTGTCACTTTTTCTTCTCTACAAGATGGCGGTATTAAATTTAAAATCCAACGTTTCGATTCCTCTGGAATCATCATCAATTTATTTTTTTTAAATACGAACCTGCTTTTTTTACTGTGTTATTGAAACATTATAGACAGTATCGGTTTTAGGATGCCCAAAGATGACAAAATCGCAAATCCAGGTCCTTATTTAAAAAAAGGAAGTTGAGGAGGGCCGCCTGAAGACGAAACGTCGAATTCTAAATTTAGTAGCACCATTTTCTAAAGGGGAAAAAATGACAACGATGAAGTGACATTTATTTTAAAATTACTCTTCAAATAAGCCCAGGAAAAAATAAAAACGATTTTACAAATTTTCGGTTTTTTCCGAATATCTCCGGAAGTATTCGGAATCTTTCTAGTTTCAAAACGACATTCTATTGGTCATAGAATTGCGTAACTTTGCCATAACCGAACCGACCCCGTATTTCTTACGGTTACCGAGATCCCAATGATGAGGCTCGAATTTGGGCCACCCTGTACTCTGTAGCCACTGCAGAACGTAGTTTTTTCTACGTTGAGACTTCTGAAAACTTATCTGCGCTCTACAGCAGTACAAGACCGACTTATGGCGGGTATTATAAAACTACTTTGACAGTTAATTTAAAGTTAACTCCTTCCTCCTCATGTAATTCCAGAAGTTAACTTTGAGTTAACTCTCAAAGTAGTTATATAATACCCGCCCATAATGGTCTTGCTCTTTTATATACAGGGTGTCCGGAAAACAGCGTAAAGACTCTTCAGTACGCGATGGAGGACCTTAGTTGTCAGATCAGTTTTTCCTGTTGTAATTTAAAGATTCTGAAATTTTTATAACGCGTTTTGAAGGCTAACAACAAATTTTTATAAACCATTATGTTTATGTTATAAATCAACGAAAGATAGGTAGGTACCTAACACTTCCACATTCACTTCTTCATATTACCAAGAATAGTCCAGAAAGATTTTTTCAATTATTTTTCTTGGGTTACTCGAAGAATCCTCTATTTATTACGTAGTGTCGTAGTGTAGTGGAGAGCTGTTACGCTATTTCCTGGACACCCTGTATACACCAAAATATTGATCTACACTTTATTTTTTCCCAAGATAGATTTTGACATTGAAAACTTTGAAATATAAACAATAACGCTTGACCCTGATTGGTCGCAAAATGAGGTGTTTCTGCAGGTTGACATCAGTTTTACAATAGCGACCAATAAGCGGCATTGTTTATGTTTCAAAGTTGACAATGCCAAAATATATCTTGGAAAAAAATAAACCATAGATATAGAGCGCATTATTGACAGATTTGCTGAGCAAAAATGCAAACTTTATTTTGTTTTGTAAATGTATACAAAATTTAGTTGATTAGTTAACTTTTAAGTCAACTATCAACATAGTTTTATGATACCCCACCCTAATGTTGCTGCTGTTAATGTATTATTTACATTCACAGTAATACATAACTTTTAGCTGTATGGCAAGTACTTAGTACTTTTTCATTTTGCGCCCCCCCCCCCCCCCCCCAAGGAAATCCCGGGACCGCGCCTGACCAGAACTTCCATATTGAATTTCGGTTGACATTGGCAGGTCATGATCAAGGTCAAACAAGCTGCAAAGAGCAAAGTCAGTTCCTGTAGCGTAACCGGTACAGGGGGTTGAAATTTTCGGTTCTCTGGTTGGTTGATTCGAATCCAATTGTGAGAATTTTTTAATTAGTTGTGCATGCAGGAAAAACGTAATAGATTCCTGATTGACGTAATAGCGTAGGTATTAAATAATAGGCAGGTTCGATATTTTTTTATTTTAACTGAAATCGAGAGATTTTGTTATCAAAAAACGATATTAAAAAATTTGGGCGCAAAATATTAATATTTGCGTTCGTTGCGAGTAGTTGAAAATCAACGATCGGCGCAGGATAAAAAACGTACCTGTACGCGAGACTAGGCCGCGTGACGTCAGTAGCCGGCACGCCATGTGAATTCGTATACTTTCCGTATAAGCCTTTACGCAAACGCTGATCCGATCACAAGCTGTCTGTTTTTCATCTTTTTTCGATGAACATGATTGAAAAAAGACAAATTACATCAGGTGGTGATTGGGTTAATCGGATCAGCGTTTGCGTAAAGGCCGATACGGAGGGTATATGAATTCACGTGGCGTACCTGGCTACTGACGTCATACAGCCTAGTCTCGCGTAGAAGTACGTTTTTTATCCTGGCGCCTATCGTTGATTTTTAACTACTCACAACAAACGCAAATATTAATATTTTGCGCTCAAATTTTTTTTGATCGTTTTCTTATAATAAAATCTCTCGATTTTGGTTTAAATAAAAGAATAACAGAAAATGTCGAACCTTCCTATTGCCTTAAGTAATAGATATGTTACGAACGTAATAGCGCTGGCAACGCTAGTAGTAAACCAGAACTAGGGAAGGGAGGGGATGCAAAAACTAAAAATTCTGCTTCAAAAATAGCGCGACGCAAGCTACGTCACCACGAGTTAATAACCGATAAAGTCACCTAATGCCTCATTCTCACTTGCGCGAATTTCGTAAGCCTAGTATTTATACCCGCGGAAGTATTAGGCCAAGTAGGCGATTCGAATCAGCTGATAATTTATGATGGCAATGCGGCACAAATGTAAAAAAACCACTGAGGTTAACTCCATATAAATATGTGTTATTTCTACCTGTTTCAGAGTTTAATTTGATGAATTTTAATTTATTTCAATTTCCTTTAATGTTCGTAGTTAAAACCGAGTTACTTGGAATATTTATCTACCGATAAAATACCTGGACATCAGCAGTGGCGTATTTTAAAATTTGGCGCCCTGGCCCTGGGCCTATAAGGTTTGCCGCCCTATAATTCAACAACAAAAAAATTGAATAATGAAAAAACATTTGAACAAAAAAAGAAACACTGGAAGTCAAAGTTTGCTGCAATGCATAGAATCATACGTAATACTTTTTCTGTATGAGAAAATGCTTCCTTCAAATTCCTTCCCTTATTAAATAATATGTTGAGTTGCCTCAAACTCATTTTGTTGCTTTGTTGTTAAAATAGCATTCCTAAATGCTGGGGGCACGTCTTGTGCCGCCCCTGGCAGCCCTACCGCCCCGGGCCATGGCCCCCATGGCCTTATGGTAAATACGCCACTGAACATCAGGTACAAAACGGACCTCAAGTAGGTAAAAGGGCCTAAATATAGGTGCTAAATATAGTGTAATAGCAAAAACTCACTAAACACTGTAGTTCACTTTAAATTAAAAAATGGCATCTTTAAACATACTTGGCCAATCTCGACATTTATAACAAATATAAAGTGTGTCAGAAGCAAATGAATGTCAAAAACATAAATTACATAAACCACAGCAACGCCAAAAAAATAAAAAAATTCTATCAAAAAACGATCTCAAACTGATAAAAACCCTTTAGAAATTCAAAGAAAATGCAGTTATGCCGCGGCGCCATCTTGTATGTACGTCAAACATCAAATCGCCCTATTTATTATTCTTACTTTTGTTGGGTAATTGGCAACATCGCTTAGGACTCAGTAAGAAAAATTTTTAATCGGCTTTCTCCTTTCTCAAATTACTTTTTTCAGGGGGGGGGAATGATAAATGGAAGTTTCTGGGAAAAAGTTAATAATAACAAATTTATGTTATAGATTTTACCTACGAGCGTGCGGCAAAGTGCACTTTACCGCACGTATTTGCAAATGGAAAGTATCACTTTACCGCACACTGTGCGGTAAAGTGCACTTTACCGCATAGTGTGCGGTAAAGTAAACTCAAAATCAAAAGAAATCCTCTCTTTTTCAGAAAATGGATTTTTGATCATTTCTATATCTAATCTAATTTCATTAATTAATCTGATTCAATATTTAATTTTATCAATGACTTTTTTTAGAGATGTAGGATGCTCATAGGTAAAATTTTGTACCTAACACATGCGGAAAGTGCCTTCACCGCCCTTAACGGCTTGACCGAACTCCGCTCCGCGTCGTTCGGTCAACTGCCGTTGCGTGCGGTAAAGTATCACTTTCCGCATTTGTTAGGTAAATAACTATTTCCTACAGCCGTGCGGAAAAATCGATTTTCCGCACTGATATGCGTGCGGAAAATGAGTTTTCCCGCACGGTGCGGTAAAACTTTTACCGCACGCATATCAGTGCGGAAAAAGTTTTTCCGCACGGCTGTCAGTGCGGAAAAAATTTTACCGCACTAATCTGTCAAAAAAAAAAGAAAAATTTTACATTTTTACGCCTGTAGGAAAAATATTGTACCTAACACTTGCGGAAAATATTTTTCGCACTTGTTAGGTAAATAGCTATTATCTACAAGCGTGCGGTAATTAAGGTATATTACATGATTTTGCGTGCGGTAAGTACCATATTACCGCACGCTCTACCTACATAGGTACCTTCAATTACCTACCTATCAGCTAAATTCTACTACTTGTTCACCGTCAAAGGTGAAGGACGCAATTTTATTTTCCATAATTTTTTAAACTTCTTTTGGATATTTTGTTACCGCACGGTTGTAGATAAAATACTGTATATAATACGTATGGTAATTAGTAATTAGGTTATTACCGCCCTTAATTTCTCTCGCGTGTGGTAATAACCTAGTTACCACACTTATTATACATCAGGGTGTTCCATAACGTTTTTCCCAGGTACCTACCTAATAACTTCGGACCACGCCATCCAATATAACTGAAATTTTGAGGATCTAGGTAACTTTTTGTGCCGCTTCTACCATTGTTATCCAATTTCATCACTTTCACTTCAATTCAAGTCAAGTGTGGCATTTTTCGTTAGAAAATTGAATTACAAAATCGGCGATGCCATATATTTGTTAAGGCTCTGTTAAAGAAAATGATAAAAAATTATACAGTGGAACATACGATGATGCGTTCTGAAGTTATCATTTGGGCAAAACCTCGTGGGACACCCTGTATAATATACTATTAGGTACGAGCGTGCGGAAAGTGCACTTAACCGCACTTATTTGCAAGTGAAAAGTAACACTTTACCGCACACTATGCGGTAAGGTTACTTTTGCGCATAGTTGTGCAGTAAAGTTACTATTACCGCATAGTGTGCGGGTAAGCAGACTGCAAAGTTTGCAAATTATGGTAGTAGACTTTGGTATATGGACCACCGTTCCGTGCGGTAAAGTATCACTTTTCGCATTTCTTAAGTAAATAACTATTAAAATAATAGGTAATTGCCATGTGATTTAAATGAAATTATAAAATCGACATCAATGTAGGTTTTTATTTTGGCATTTGGCATTTTTAAAAATAAAAATTGATTTCCCTCCTTGGTATATTTTTTTTAATAATCACAGTTACAATATAGGCAAAGTCCAATATGAAAAATACATGATACCTAACACTTACGCGTAAAATACAAATATAATCCCTAGTCCTATATTATAGATAAAATGTATGTCGTGACGGTCAGGGTTGGGAATATACTGTATAATTTTCTACTCTACGCGTATGGTATCGGGTCTTCAAAAAAAAAAAACATCAAAGATTGCTATGGTTTTTTAAACATATGTCTTAGCAATATTTTTCTTCAATTTTGTCAATGAACTTTGATGTTAAAATGTCTTGTCAAAAATCCTGTCCAATAAATAAACAATAATGTGACGTATGTTTTCCTAATCAAAGCAATTTTTTTTTGAAGACCTGTTTTATTGTACTGGTGCACTTTTCATCAAAATTAAAAAAAAAAAACACACAGACAAATAGAAAAATATACCTACCTGCGTCAATTATTGCAGTCGTAGATAAAATGACTTACATACTATCCGTTCACAATCCGATATCCACAGGTACAGGTAAAATGTATCACCTTTCAATGCTATTTGATAGGGAAAGGTGATAAATTTACCTGTACCTGTGGACATCGGATTGTGGATGATATATGTGATACATGCAGACCTCTCAAATGTTGTGACAAACTCTTCAACTTGTGTAAAATATAAAATTATATTTAGAACCTATTCACTACAGAAACTGAATTTAGTAACCAGTGTTATTTACAATATCTCTAGTATAAAAGCTTATTACAATTTTTATCATTCAATGTGTACCTATTTAAAATGGTGTAGATACTATCACACATTTTAGTAGTTGAAACGTATATGGTTTTTCTGCCATCGCGCATGTAATGTGTCACATTTTATCACGACCGCAAGTTGTGGGTGTCTGAGAGTCTGGAAAAAAAATATGCTCTATTGTTTTTCCCCCAATATCCTTGATTCAATTTCCTTCTTTTTTTTTAAAAAAAAACTCGAAGTAATACTTTGATTCTTATGTTGTCTTCTAGTCTTCTACTCCCTAGCACACGTGTAGTGTAATACATATATAAAATTTTATTCACATGAATGTTTTCAATTTTCCTATTCCAGGCTTTGGAATTTTCTCTATTTTATGTTTAGAGAAGAAAACTATAAAAGAAAATTCAAGAACCTGGATCAAACAAAAATTGAATAGGATAATAAGGACAAAGAAAGGAGTTTTAACAGTTTTAAGCTAACGGGATGTTCAATTTTATTTTATTTTTTTGAGGATTTGGATTGATATTTTGCAAATGGATAGAAAAAAGATTTTAATTTGTGAAAAAGACAATAAAAATTTCCTTCTGCTTAGTAGTTTGATGCAAATTAGAGGATCTTGAAGCAGATGCAATCTAGACGATTTTTAAATGTTTGAGCTTGATCACGTTAAGATCGAAATTAACAAAGTTGTGATGCAAAATGTGTGTCGATTTATTTTGGAAAAAATAGAATTTTCAAAAAATGTTGTTGTTGGGTGCATTTTATTCTTTTTTTTGGGGCATTCACTTGAAATTTTTTAAGTGGATAGAAAAAAAATTGAGATTTTAGCTTTCTGCCTGCTCTCTTTTAAATTGAAGGTGTAGGTGTACCTAGTCCATACCTATGTCATTTTTGCTCTCTTTAAGTTTTTGACTTTGGAGTTGGAGTTGGCTCCTCGGTTAGCTCTATAACTATGAATTTTCTTTGAATCTTTTTTTTTTATTTAGAGGAGGAAAATATTTGAAAAAAAATTTACTTAAACGCCTGGAACAAACGAAAAATTGAACAAAAACAATAAGAAATGGAAAAAAATCTCGAAAAAAATGATAGAACGAATAATTCAGAAAGGAAAAATGAGCAATAAAGAAAAAACAAATTGAAAAATAGAGTGAAACTATTTTTAAAAAGATCCAAATGAAGTGTTTGTTTGATTTTTCCGAGTATTTTTGATTAGGATTGGGAGATAAAGGCATTTCAATGATCTGTTCAAATTTGTATTGAAATTTACAAGTGTAAATAAAATGTAATAGTCGAGGCAATAGTACATAGTCAATAAATTCTAAATAATTAGTAAATTAATAAAAATGGTACTTAAATAATAGCTATTTATATAACAAGTACATAAAGTAAGGCTTTATTGTACGAATAATTTTATGGCCGAGCGAGCTTGCGAGCGAGGCTATTAAATAATGAGTCAATAAAGCCTGTTTATGTGAGCGTTATATACATGATTTTATGTACGATTACGACTGGTTTTCGTTAAAAATTAAAAAAATCTAATGAAAAAAGTAAAATTCGCGTAGGTATACCGGTTTCACCTTGCCAGGTTATCAGGACCTGTTTCACCTTGGCAGGTTGTTAGGACCTGTTTAACCTTGTCAGGTAGTCCAGGTAGGCAATAAAGTAGCACTTTATTTTACTAGTACAATAAAGTGCTAATTTATTGACGCAAAACCGTTCTATAAATAGCACTTTATTGGTCAATCGGACATAAAAATAGTTACTTTTTTGTATTGTAGCTTTTAAGTAGTACCTATATCGAATATGTTAGTTTTATACAAAACATTTTAAATACCTTCCCAACCCTGGTTATGGTGATTAACCATTTTATGAAAATTATTCAGGGCTGGAATTCTGTAACGAATAGAAATATTTTCGCTATCGACGTCCCCTCTCTATTGATTTCAATAAGGGAGAAGAAGACAGCATGTGCCATAGCGATAGCAATGTAAAAAAATGTTCTCTGTTCTTTTAAATTATACATTTTAAATTATTTGTCTGGTTCTTGAATAGAAACGGTTTTTTGAGTTTTTTAAGTTTTATTTGTGTGACTCTTAGTTTTAAGTTTTATTTTTTATGACTGACTTCTATTTCTTAAATTTTTTGTGAGCTTTTTTATTTTAAGTAGGTACATATACATTTGGATATTTTCTCTTACTACAGCTGAGTCTCGAGCTGTGTACTTCATTTTCTAGACATAGGATCAGCTTTTGTGAAAAAATATTTATATTTACACAATAAAGCACATTTTGAATTTGAATTTGATAAAGACCTCTATCATTTACAGAATACCGCCCTAGGTCTGGAATCTTTATCAACTGTTAAATTTCTTTGTTCAATGATACAAATTGAATTTATAGTTCAACATAAAATAAAAATTTAATAGTTGATTCAGACACTGGCCAATAGATGCTAAATTAAAATTAAAATATAAAAGTCAAGTAAACAATAATATATTTGATATAAAAAAGAGGAATTAATATTTTCATTTTGATATTCATAATCAGATACCTACATACTTACCCATTTGATAAAGATTTTAATAAATTTCAAGTCTTTAGTCTTACTAAAAATAAAAAAAATAAAAATAATGAGCTTAAACTTATATTGCATGACCATTTGAGTTAAATAAGCCCAATGGATGTAATGGAGATTATGATTGGTAGATTACATGTTGAGCTACTTCTACCAATCAAAACGCCCCAATCTTTGATAATAATTGTTCAAACAGGGTTTCTAACTTTGATCATAATAATATTATTAAGGTTAGGCTGAGAGAATAAACCATAAGGCCCCTTTGATACTAATCAATTACCAGCGCTGCTGCAGCATAGCTTACTGAAGAATCGTTCATGTTACGACATTGGCTCGACTGTGCATATTTCAAAAATTTCAAGCTGGCATTTTGAGAGCTGTCGTTTCTTAGCAGTTCTTGTATGGCTTGCAGAAGTACTCCAATAGGGTGTCTGCCGCAAATCGTGTTTCCGAATTTTTTCAAATAATTAGTAAACTCTGTAGCATTTAAATTTTCAATGATATTCATGCCGACACGGTCCAATTGTTCAATAGACTGGTGAATGTTTCCACAAGATTGATCGTAGTGAGTATATCTGAATCTGTGACCCCAATGGCAAAAGTCTGACGAAATTATAAAAAGATTTTTAGGGTCTGCTAAGTAAGGAGCCAGAATCCTGCCGTAGCAAGCCTCACGGTCCGGGCTTAGAGATCCAACAAGAATGGGAACGATACTAAATTGATTTTTGTAATTTTCCATAACTTTAGCAACGTATGGCAAATGCATTTCAATGCTGTGCTCATTTTCATCAGTATCCATGTCCATTTCTTCAAACTGGCCAGTCTTTTCCAATTCAGTATTAATAGCCATATCAATATGCAAATCATACAAAGGAGTCTTGTACTTTTTTGCACTTGACAAGGCACAGCCTGCTAAACGTACATGATGTGAGGGCCCCAAAATGAAAATGGTCCGCACCACTACGGGACTAATTTGCCTGTAAGCAAAACCACTACATTCGCCACAATATTGATATCCTGCATGGGGGGCTATTATAGCCCTAGCAGGGCCATGGCTCAAGTCAGCTTGATTCAGCCAATAATCCAGTTGTCTGGATAATTCACTTGCTGAATCCGAGTACCAGCTGCCTGCGTGAGTGGCTCTTCGTACTGGCATTTTTTTCAGTCTTTGTTCTTCAATTCTTTGTCTCTTGAAAGAAGGAAACTATTGAATAGCTCAAGTTAACGGATTTTAAATGATGATGATTGAACTGGGGTGTGTTGAAATTGTTTGCAGATATAAATAATCAAATACTGAGGTCAAATTTCGAAACTTTTATATCAAAAAAATACTTAAATAACTACTAAATAAGTAAAATGAAATGACAAACAATTTAAAAGTGTGGTTAGGTGGAATGTTTGCTTTTCACATTTCAAGTCGGATGTTTTTCTTTTTCATACGTTCAGGCATTTACCTTGCGTTCGGTATTTTGCTCAGGCCTCAAAGAGCAGAGCGTGCTGAGCGGAGCCGTAATCACGTGACCAGCGAGCGAACAGAGCAGTTGTACGCTGTATCACAGTGCCAGAAATTTTAATAAACGAACGCGAATGAGCCTGCACCGAGTACACTTTCCAAATAATCGAACGGTAAATTCAAGCTCGGAGAGCTCAGATCAAAATACCGAACGCACGGTTACTCTAGGTGGGTTCGGGATGACTGTTCTATACGGTTCTATCCGTGCGTTCGGTATTTTGATCCGAGTTATTCGAGCTTAAATTTAGCGTTCTTTATTTAAAAAGTGTACTCGATGCAGGTTCATTCGCGTTCGTTTATTAAAATGTCGGGAACTCTGTTGGCTCGCTGGTTAGGTGATTACAGCTCCGCTCAGCATGCTCTCTCTGCTCTTGAGCAAAATACCGAACACAAAATCTATAAAGGCGTGCGGGAATCAAGTCAAAAGAACTGACTCTGGTCTCTAAGGGCGGGTATTATAAAACTACTTTGAGAGTTAACTTAAAGTTAACTTCTGGAATTACATGTAATTCAAAAAGTTAACTTTAAGTTAACTGTAAAAGCAGTTTTATAATACCCGCCCTAAATCAGGGACCCAGACCGAAATGGAATATCGGTTCTGTTCTGATTCCGGTCCACAGCATCATGACAAATATCGATTCCGTTCAATGTCATTCAAATATGAATAAATGTGATTTTGGTGAACATCCATCATAAAACATGGAAAGCAACGTATTTGATGGACCTAATAATAGTAATCAAATACGTCGATTTCAATTTTTTATGATAGATGTCCATTTAAATCCTATGTATTAATATTTGAAAGTAACAAGCAATGGTAACAAGAGGTTGGGAACAAAATGGCGGCGGGACCTCTATTGTCGCTAGGGTTGCCAGATATCAATTTTGGAAAAGCGTAACGGCGTGGACTACAGTGGCTAAATAAACCTTTACAAACAGTGGCGACAATAGAGGTCCCGCCGCCATTTTGTTCCCAACTTCCCAACCTCTTGTTACTTTTAAATAATAATATATAGAATTTAAATGGACATCAATCATAAAAAATTGAAATCGACGTATTTGATGACTATTATTAGGTCCATCAAATACGTTGTTTTCCATGTTTTATGATGGAGGTTCACCTAAATTCCATAATCCCATATATTCATATTTGAAATAAGCAATAGGTGGGAACAAGATGGCGGCGTTTTCAATATAAATATATGGGATTTTAGAACCGATCAAAAATAAGACAGCAATTGTCGCCACTGTGGGTAATAAAGTCACTGTAGCGTGGCCAGACGAAAGCCCGCCACGGGCGCACCAAACCAAATGTGTCATCTACGACAACTCTTTTGTTTCAAGATATATGACGTGTTCGATATCGAAAGTAGGCCTTTTCGGAAACGCCGATCCGATTAACCGGATCAACAACTGATATCCTTTGTCTTTTTACAATTGTATTCATTAAAAGTAGGTAAAAGACAAACAACTGGTGATCGGGTTAATCGGATCAGTGTTTCCGAAAAGGCCTAGTATGGTGAAACGATCTGTATGTCTTTACGCTCACAGGCACGTTCTCGTTGACCGTTGTGTTCAAAAAGCACCGCGAATACTTTTGCCTTGCGCACTTGACAGCCCAAATGACAGTCCGCTAATCATAGGTCTGTTCCTGCATGTTGGGTTCGGAACCAACCCAGAACCAGTTGGTGCAGAACCACAGACTACAGGACGAAAACGGCCGGACCACCCAGAGCGCACAAGCGAGACCTGGGCTACGAGGTTCGGCAGCGATCAAGTTTTAGTCTGCGACCCGCCTCGATGCCGTAGCTCACCGCTTAGAAAAACCTCCCTGCACACATACCTACCCTCGCTATGAATCGCTGTTGTTCATCCCCGCTGTATTTTTATAATTAATAAAGGTCGGTGCTAAATCGACTCGTGGCGTGATTATTATTTCCCGATCGACAAACGTAACAAAGTGGCGACGAGATAAAAGTGATTTTTTTTTGGACATTCCATTCGACAAACGCGCGGCATTTCCAAAATGGCGAACATAAAATTCGTGGAATTTAACCCCGATTATGACAACTTCGAAGTATACGCGGAACGGCTGGAGTACCATTTCACGGCAAATTCGGTTACGGACAGAAAAATAAAAATCGCAATTTTACTGAGTTCAATAAGCGCAGACACCTACTCCCTGCTCAGGGACATGTGCCACCCCACGGCACCCAGGGACAAAGAATACGACGCTCTAATCAGTATTTTGAGAAAACAGTTCGGGGTAATAATAAATGTTTGGCGCGAACGAAGAAAGTTTTACGAGCTAAAACAAAACCATGAAGAAAAAATATGCGAGTGGTACGCCAGAATTCGAAAAGGCGCCGTTTCCTGCGGTTTTGGAGCCGATTTGGGCAAGATATTGCTAGACAAGTTTGTTTCCGGACTGGTGGACGGCAAGATTTTCGACAGATTGTGCGAGGAGAATGCTTCAACGGCCTCGATCGAAACCACAGTAGAAGCAGCCAGCAAGGTGGAGAACGTCATCCATTCGACAAGGGGCATCAACATCGTCCATGCAAATTTCCCGCCACATCGTCCACATGGCGCCGGAAAACCGGAAATTCAACAATATGGCGGCTACCCCTACCACCAATCTCAGAGCAGCCAACACCACCAAGCACATGACCGAGACCGTCGACGCAACGACAGACGAAATCCGAGGAGCCGGTCACGTAGTAACAGCCGCAACCGCAGCGTCGAACGCAGCAATCAGCAGTGGCAACACCGCCGAGGTAGGTCACCCGCATCCGTCAATCAACCACCAAACTTCAATCGGTATGACGGAGGCGGCAATCGTAAATGTCAAACGTGTCACAAATTTCATGGAAATAAAAAATGTTTTTTGCTGAATTCTAGGCCCAATTTAGGTGGCAACATGTGTATGGCCGACCAAATGTTAATTTTTCAATATTCGCCTTACTTAATCGTTTGGTGGTCGTTTGGTGGTCTTTGGTATGGCAACATGTGTATGGCCGACCAAATGTTAATTTTTCAATATTCGCCTTACTCAATCGTTTGGTGGTCGTTTGGTGGTCTTTGGTATCCCACTTTTAGTATTTGGTGGTAATTACTTAGGCAGTAATTAACAATTAAAAATTTCATATGACGTTGGCCGACATAACCTGATTCTAATTTATTTTTTGGCCCATTTATAGTCAAATCGAACGGAAATCGTTTGGTGGTCACGAATTTACCGAATTTAACGTTTGGTAGTCAATAATACCGGAGATATTAATCAATTAAGATTGTTTTCTGATATATTCTAATTATTCGTCGCGCATGCGCATATATTATCTGTTTTTCATTGAGCCGCCTCGATCGCGGCGTTGCCGTTGCGATCCGGAACTGGCGGTGGGCCGGTGGCGTGTCAACTCGCGAGTCGCGAGTCGCGGACTCTGCTTGTACTGGAACTGGATACTAGATTACTGGATTGTCGTTGTCGTGGTCAGTGGTCGCCACAATAGCAAAAATGAAATTAACTGGAGGCGGCTCAATGAAAAACAGATAATATATGCGCATGCGCGACGATTAATTAAAATATATCAGAAAACAGTCTTAATTGATTAATTACTCCGGTATTATTGACTAACAAACGCTAAATTCGGTAAATTCGTGACCACCAAACGATTTCCGTTCGATTTGACTATAAATGGGCCAAAAAATAAATTAGAATCAGGTTATGTCGGCCAACGTCATATGAAATTTTTAATTGTTAATTACTGCCTAAGTAATTACCACCAAATATTAAAAGTGGGATACCAAAGACCACCAAACGACCACCAAACGATTGAGTATGGCGAATATTGAAAAATTAACATTTGGTCGGCCAAATACATGTTGCCCTTTGGTATCCCACTTTTAGTATTTGGTGGTAATTACTTAGGCAGTAATTAACAATTCAAAATTTCATATGACGTTGGCCGACATAACCTGATTCTAATTTATTTTTTGGCCCATTTATAGTCAAATCGAACGGAAATCGTTTGGTGGTCACGAATTTACCGAATTTAACGTTTGGTAGTCAATAATACCGGAGATATTAATCAATTAAGATTGTTTTCTGATATATTCTAATTATTCGTCGCGCATGCGCATATATTATCTGTTTTTCATTGAGCCGCCTCGATCGCGACGTTGCCTACCTATTCTATAATTTTCAATCAAATCAATTATTTCATTACAATCAACGAATAATTAGGTAGGTATCTATACTTACTCGAATACTGAAAATAGGTATACATCGTGATTTACTTAGCCCGTGCATTAATAAGAAGTTTTTTAGGTTGCAAGTGGATTACTAGAGATAGCATTTGATCCAACTGCAATCTTATTCACGGGCTACGTGAGGCATTCTCCTGTATAGGAACAAAATGCAAAACTGATATATACCTTCCTTAGCTTGCAAAAATCTTTAATTGATTTAGAGATTACCCTGATCGGCAGCAAGCAAACTAACCCAAGTCTTTGTGCAAGTTTGGAAAATACGGTTGATAATGTTGATAAGTATTGATGATAATAATTCATGATCAGCCAACCACTCAAGCATACAAACTTCGAAAGTCTAGTCTCTGAGGGGTTTTTTCAATGTTTTTCACAGGAATACAATTAAGACGAATGTATCCACCGTACATAAGAGTTAAATTTATTATAATTCTTGTTCAAATAGTTCGATGATTTTCTACGTCGTATTGCAGTTTAATCAGTCATAACTATCTTCTATACAGTATACATACAGTAACTATAACGTCTATAACATTAATTAAGTTCGCAGGTTTATGACAAAATAAAACTCCAGTTAATTTCATTTTTGCTATTGTGGCGACCACTGACCACGACAACGAC